GGTCATGCAGGACAAAAGACACGGGCCTCTTTCTCATTTTAGGGTTATTTTCAGCACTGACTGTGTTTTTTTGCCTAGTAAGTAAGTACAGCTGAAATGGGGGTAGGTAACAGTGGAGAGTTTTAGGAGGATTATTGCACACTGACATGTCTGTGGGCACAGGTAAGGTCATGTGGGAGGCGCCCAGGTGAAGGATAGAGTAAGGCCTGGGCCTGGTCAGGGGAAGACAGTGTGGGCACAGGTGCATGGCCCTGTGTGTCCTCCCTTCACGGATAATGGGGCCAATGTTTCAGACCAGATCATTTATTGCTGTGAAACCAGAAGAACCAAATTCATGATCAGCACTGCTCTGTGCACTCATGGAATCTAAATCTCTGAGACCTTGACAAGGTCATTCTCTGGGTCTGAGTTTCTTCAAGTGGAAATTCAGGCCAATTGTCAAGAGGCTCCCTTCCTGGACTGCTGGAGAGGTCAAATGAGACCATCATATGAAGAGAGGGAGCACAGCAAACTGTAAATTGGGGTTTTAGATGGTGACCTTGGGGAAGGAAGAGGTGTGCAATGACCCCCACCCCCCACTGTGGGGTGAATGCTGGGCCGGGAGCGTGGAGGTGCACAGAGCCAGGAAGACCAGGCTGAGTGAGACTGCCATGGCCTCAGCTGCACGATGTGCAGAACGAAGCTTCAGGCAGCTGCCATTTGCAGCGTCCTCACCGAGGAGGCATGTGGCCTGTGGCCAGTGGCCAGGGTGCAGTTCCACCCACATACTTGTGCAGCCTGGGGTCCCAGGTCACTGATGGCTTCCTTCAGGGCCAGCTCTGATTTCTGAGGTCTTGCCACAGGCTTAGCCAACTCGGCAGTTGGGGACAGCTGCACCCAGCAAGGTTTGCGTCTTGGGCTTAGCTCAGAGGTCCCAGTGCTTATAGAAGGTCATCTGGGGACAGTGTGGCCTTTTACTGTGGCTCAAGTTGTGATGCTGCCATGGGAATTCACTCTGCACACACAGAATGTCCCCTTTTCTCACCAAGCAGGTCCTCTGCCCTATGCCCTGGGCTCAGGGGAGGTCAGGTTGATAAGTGATCTCTCCCGAGTTTTATTAAGGACCCTGGCTCTGGAGCTCGGGTGGGCTGTGGGGGGCTGGAGGATGTCCCCAGCAAACCTGCGTGGGCACTTGCTCTGTGTACGGCATCTTTGTTGGTTTCTTCTCAGAAGCCTCATTCCTCTGAGCTGTTTGCCCGAGGAGACGGAACCTTTGCGGTCCTGCATGGTGTCTCTGGGGTCACAGTTTGTCCCACCTCACTTTTCATGAACTTTCAAAAAATATTTCTCTTAGTTGTAGATGGACACAATGTCATTATTTTTATTTGCTCATTTCTATGTGGTGCTGGAGGTCAGACCCAGGGCCTCACATGGGCGAGGCAAAAGCTCTACCACTGAGCCCCAGCCCTGGCCCTCATGAACCTTTTACTTAAAAAGTGGCCCAGAGAAAGGTTGGGGCTTCCTTCACCCAGCCTGAGGGGCAGGGGAAGGCGCCACGCTGTATAGGGGCCATCAGCCACACCTCTGGCTATCCTCCTGCAAGCCCCCAAGCCTGGGGTCCCTGAGGCTCTCTGTGGGCCTTGAGGGTTCTGCTCCATGGCCAGCTTGGTTGTGTGCAGGCTGGCAAGCACCTGCCGGAGGGAGAGTTAGCGTGTCTGTGTTTAAAACTGGAGAGGCCCTGTCTGCTCCCCTGCAGTGTCACTCTTGGTTTCCCCAGGCAGGTGGGTACCACGGTTTGGTCCTCCTTGGTCACCCGTCTCCTTCCACCCACCCTGGCTATCTCCTGGGGCTCCCGTCTCTTCTTCTGGCGATCTCAAATTCCGTCCTCGTGGAACCTGCCTCAGCCGCCCTCTGGAGTGGTCTGTCTTCTCTGACTCTCCTGGGGCTTGTTTGCCTGCCCTTTACAGTCCATCTTGACCCTTTATTTCACGGTCACCTCCTGGAGGGCAGGGGCAGCCCCTTGCTCTCTTTTGTATTTGCCACATCAACTAATGCAGTGACAGAAAAGCAGTCAAGCCGTGTCCACCCCATCTTGGGATCAGAAACCACGATTCCAGGTCAGAGTGGCTTGTGCAGGGTGTTCAGAATGCCCCCAAGGTAGGAGACCTTTTGGGACACTTTCGATATTTATATTAGTTTGGAGGTACTCGTTGGTCAATGACAAAGAGGCGAACAGCCACAGGTGTCATTTAAGAGGAGGGCTCTGGGGTTGTTTGAGTTTGAAAACTGCCCTGTTGTTTTTTGCTATGTGACCTCAGAAAGATATGGAATTCTCTAGAATTCGGCTTTCTTAGCTATAGAGGCAACAATATGTATTTCATCGAGAAGTGCCAGTCTTTCATATACCACAGAGAAAAAAAATTGCTGTCAATGAAACAATGATTCAATGTTTCATTTATGCTCATGGAAGTAACTCTTAGATACATTTAGGCTTTCAGGAAACCACAGGCCAGCTGGGCATGGGCCAGCGGGGCACATTGGATCCCAGTGACTGGAGGCTGAGGCAGGAAGATCGTGGGTTCAAAGCCAGCCTCAGCAAAAGCGAGACACTAAGCAACTCAGTGAGACCCTGTCTCTAAATAAAATACAAAATAGGGCTGGGGATGTGTACCTGCCCCTCTCCCCCTGGCCATTCTTTGGAAAGGAGAGTGTATGGATTGGGGTGCCTGGAGAAGGCTGGTCGTCACACTTGGAGACTTCTTCAGCAGCTCTGGGCTGCAGTTGTCGAGGGTCCTGTCCCCCACAAGCATGCAGCCTGTCCTCTGTGCTGCTGGAGGAAGCTGCTGTAGGATTTTCTGCTGGGTTGTTGACACTTCAACACTTAAATGCACCTGCTTTCCTGATCCTGGACACCCACTTGCACAGTCAGAGCTCAGTGGTCCTGGAACCTACCAGGAGCCGCAGGTGCCTGGGGCCACCAGGAGTGGCAGCAGCATTGTGACAAGTGCCTCTGGCCTTTGTTCCTTGGCGTTCGTCTGCCTCAGTTCTCCTCCCGTTTCCAGTGGTGCTATTTGTGTCTGGGTGGCCGTGTGGCACGTTCAAGCCCCTTGTCAGGGATGCGTGTGGTGAGCCTCTCTCCTGCTCTGGGCCGTTTCCTCCTGTTTTCCTACGGGTCTCTTGAGGAGCACAGTTTCTACCTTTGACAAAGTTCCCATTTTCCTTTGTAGTTCGTGTCTTCAGGGTTCTCTGATATGCTTGCTCCAAAGCCAGGGAGGGGGTCTCCCTGTTTCCCCTGGAAGCTTTCATGTTAACCACCGTTAGACCTGTGGCCGTTTCTGTGCTGTTTGGTGTGTGGTTTGAAGTGTGGAGGGAGGCGGCCCTTTTCTCATGGAGATAACTAGCTGTTCTGTTTGTTGAAAATACTGCCTTTTGTTCATTGGGTTGGATTTGTACTTAGATTGAAAAGCAGTCGACTCTCTGAGTTTGTGTCCACTTCCGGGTCTTCTGTTCCTCTCCGTGGATGTGTTTGCCCACCTCTGCTGAAGCTGGACTGTCGTGGTGTGTGGTGACCACAGCATGAGTCTCAAAACCAAGATGGACTTTTTGAGGATCACCCCAGTTTTCTAAGCCTTTGCATTTTCTTTCATGTGATAGAATAAGCTCATAAATTTCTGCCAAAGAACCTCATGAAATTTTGATTGGAATTGTATTAAATCAGTGAATCAATCTGGAGAAGCTGAAACCTCAGTAACATGAAGTTTTCCAATGTGTGTTTGTGGTTTGTCTTTCTAATTATTTAAATCTTTACTTTCTCTCAGTACGTATTAAAAAAGAGCGCTCTTCCACATATTTCTTTAAATTTCTCCCTAAGTGTTTCTCATCTTAAAATATCTTATAAATTGTGTTTTAAAAAAAATTATCTCCCAATAGTTTATTGTTGATATGTAGATAATTTTTTAATGTCTTATAAATAATTTTAATGATTAAATGCATGTAGGCAACCAAGAAAATTCAGAAGGTCACTGATCTTTGGCTGGATATTTCCTTTTCCTTGGTGCGTGTTAATCCCACAGCAAAATGGTTTCCTATGGTGTTCTGGCACGACACACCATGCACTACTGATTTTTGCATGTTGACTTTGCACCCTGCAACCTAGCTATATTCCGTGTGTCGGGGTTTCTCTTAGCTTCATAGAATTTCTTGTTTATTTCTGTAGCAACCCATGATTCAGGTGTTATTCCAATAATGGTTTATGGAAAGTTTGTCCTGGGCATGCTGATTTCCTCCCTGCTCATCACACAGCTTGAGGAACATGACTGGGGTGTTAATTAGGTCCAGTCCGACTCCAGGGCTCCATCCCTCCCCATCCTGAGGGAGGTGCCACACCTCCTGGACACTGGGAGCAGTGCCTGTGGCTTTCCTGGGTCCCACAGGGACAGTCTCGTGTCATCATTTTCACAGGCCAGGAATATCTGAGGGGACCCCTGGAACAGACTCAAGAATTGGGGGGTGCAGAGGGCATTTTCAGTGAAGCAGGGGCCTCTTCAGTTCTGGCACAGCAATGCTGAACTAAAGGTAGGGTGGGTGAGGCTGGCCTGGGCACGTTCAGGAAGCAGGTTTACTGAGGCTGCAGTGCCCGGAGGGGCCGGTGCCAGGGTCTCTGGGCCCTGAGTTTGGAGATTGTCTTGGACGTATCCTCAGTGGGGTGGATGGTTACCTGACGGTGGGTGGGAATGCAACAGTTGCTCTCTGTCCACTCTTAGGAGAGCTTGGGATGGACTCTGCCATAGCTTATGTCGACAAACCTAACATTTCAGTTCCCTGAGCCCTCTGCAGACACCCTACCAACCTTGACATTCCTCGTAAACATTTCCTGACAAGAAGGGAGGCTTAATTAAGGCAGGGTCCTTGGGTTGGGGTCTCGGGTCCATTCAGTGCTGCTGCTGAGCAGCCTCTGCTGCACGGGGCCTGTCAGCTGAGCTGCCTCCGCCTCCTTTCTCCTCTCCCGCCCTGTGCTATAGGAGGCCATTTCTGCACGGCCAAGGACCTGGCTGAGGAGATCCGCTCCCTGGGCAGTGAGCGTGAGGAGCTGGAGGCGCTCCTGGGCAAGATGCTGGGGCTGAGTTCCAGAAGCACCGGGAAGCTGGGACGCCTTCGTGAGGACCAGGACAGGCTGTGCCGGGAGCTGGCCTGCCAGGCTGCGGCCTACGGTGAGTGGCGGGGGGATGTCCAGCTCCATATCTCCTGGCAGGTGGCCAGGCGGGACCATCTGTGCTTCTGGGACCTTGATGAGGGGGTGCCATGGGCCACACAGCTTCCATTTTCTGTCAGAAGCTTTAGCAAACAGGGTGGTGCCACTCAGGGGTGACACCCTGTCCTCCGCCTGCATCTGCCCAGGGCTCCTGACTGTGCAGAGCAGCCCTCCTTGGGGGCAGGCCTGTAGCCCCTCCTCGGGGCAGTCCTCTCCCTCTGTGCCCAGGCTCAGTCTTCCCATCTGCACTGCAGCCTGGCTAGGGAGAGCAGGTGCCTCTCAGGGCTTCTCCTGGGGAAGGTCATCCACGCAGGTACTGCCTCTGCCCGGCTCTGCTAGGAGCAGAGCCCAGGTGCTGCTGTGTCCTTCCTGTGCTGGTGGTCCAGAGCGGAGGCCACCTGAGGGCCCAGCCTCGGGGTCTCCAAGGATCCTGGTTCTGTCCAAGCAGAGACAGCAAACATTTACTTCTAAAGAAAGTGAAGGATTTCTCACGAGTTTCCTTCCAAAATGCTGAATGAAATCATCAGAAGCAAATCAGATTTAAAAGGTAATAGATGCTAGAACTTGCTTCTTCACTGGTGATGAGAATGTTTGGCTCATGGGGGGTCAGTGCCGTGGAGTTGTGTGCAAAACATCCTGGGCGTGTGCGCGTGGAGGGCAGAGGACGAGACAGCACAGCAGGGTCCCTCATAAATGTCCTTCACCATTCTGATGGAATAAATAGATGTGAATAAGCGGCCGCATTTTACAAAGTATGCTTACCTGAAGAGAAATAAGAAGGAAGTGGGATCTTAGGAGTCGGATCTGAAATGAGGATCTCTGAAAATATCCCACAAATTGATGTACGTGATTTTTTTTTTTTTTTTTGATACCAGGGGCACTCAACCACTGAGTCACACCCCCAGCCCTGTTTTGTATTTTATTTAGAGACAGGGTCTCACTGAGTTGCTTAGTGCCTCAGTTTTGCTGAGACTGTCTTTGAATTCATGATCCTCCTGCCTCAGCCTCCCTAGTTGCTGGGATGATAGGTGTACACCACCGTGCCCAGCTGATGGACATGAAAATTAGTGTCTAAAAACCAAAAAAAGGAATGTAGCATCAGCTAGTAGGAACTAGGTGTGACATTTTAGGGTGCATCAACTTTGCTGTGTGGGTCCATCAGCTTGCAGGGGCTGTGGTTACTACAGAGTTCCCGGGTCAGAATGTGCTTGGTGGTACTGGGTCACTTGGTAACCAGCACTACAAGCTGGCCCAGCAACTCAGGGCTTCTCTGAGTTTCTTTTCACTTTTAAAGATCAAGCCTTGTTTTTTTTCCAACTATGTAACAGGAGACTGTACACTTGAGCCTAGGTAACTTCAGTACTAATCAGGGGCAACGTGCTCTCCTGAGACGTTCCAGCCTGGCCAACTGGGCATGAGGGATGAGCATCATGTACTTATTTTTGCTGTTGGATTTCTAAGTGTACAAACTATAAAAGCTACGAGATTTCTCGTGGCATCAGCATGCACGAGGGGGCAGAGATTAGCTCTAGGAATACAGAGGCTGTGAACATATTTGGGCAAATAGAGTGCAGCAGTGTTTCCATGTGAATGGCGGAGCTCTGGAAAGCTATTAAGATCCTTTCTAAAAAGGGCTGCACAGCGTTTTTTGAATCCCGTCCTTGTCACTTCACCAAGGATTTTCACAGTGATGAATAAAACATGCACAGGTGGAAGGAGCTGGTGGCCGCCGCGGGTGCTGGATTGTCGGTGGCGCTGTACGTAAGGGTGGGGAGCAGCTCTGTGTCTGGCGCCTGGATCTTGCTGCGTCAGCTCCCCTGGTCCCAGATGTATCCACAGGCCAAGCTGATTCTTACCCAGTCTGAGGAGCTTTGGCTCCGGTGACTCAGATTAGTTAACCCAGACTGCAAGCGTGCGAGGGACAGATAAGTAAGGTATAAACTCCCGAGTCCGTCAAGCTGCATAATAAAAGGGAGTGTAATTAACTAGGCCGAGTCTGTCCAGCCGCTTTTGGGTGCTGGGTGTTGACAGTGCAGGATGCTCTGTGTTTGTACCTGCTAAGTGATGGACTCCCCCTGGCCTTCGACATATTGAAGTCTAATGTTCAGGAACGAGCACTGCGTTGTGGTCCTGAGTGTGACTTCAGCATGGTTGTAGAAGTGGCCCTTGGGAAGGGGCAGTGCACACAGGGAGGAGCAGCCCAGAGTGTGAGGGGCCCAGACTCATCCGTCTTGCTCCCCAGGCCCCTGCAGGTGCCATTCAGTCCATGGCGCTGAGCCAGTCACATGTGTGTCCAGGTCCGACCTGAAGGAGCCAAGAGAGGAGAGCTCAGCCCTGTTGGCTCCCTTTGAGACATCTGCACACTCCCCTGCCACTGCCACAGCCAAGGCCTGTGGTGACAGTCAGAGGCAAGGGTTGTGGGAAGCACCCTTACCCAGTGGCCCTGTCAGGGAGGATTTGCCGTCACATCCGGGGCCAGCCAGTCTCTGGTGTCTCACACCAGACGCTCAAGGCCAACGAGCACTTGGGGGGCTATAGGCCAGGGTCCAGGGTCGTTGGCTAGACTAAGCTCCATCCCTTGGATTTGGATCACGCAGATGGACCTCCAGGCTTTGGCTTCTCATTCGATTCCCAGTGGTGGCTTCGAAATATCCCATGGGAGGTGACAAGTTGTTGAGTTGGAGGTTCAGGTCAGGGCGTCTGCAGACAGCACAGGATGACAACAGGAAGTCCCTGGAGAAGCAAGGGGCAGGCATCCCTGCTCGAGGGCTTTGTCACTGTGGTGACTGGGTCCTGCAAGGACGTGGGAGGAAGCCAGCCTGAGTGCTGTGTCTTTCTTGGGCTGGGAGAGCAGCGCAGAGTCCTGAGCAGGGTGAGGTGGGAAGAGACAGGAGGAAAAGCCAGCTCCTCCACTCAGACACCTACGGAAGTTACCTGAGACCCTCTCGCTAGTACGGATTTCAGCAGTTTTTTTTCTTTTAAGGGAAAGTGGGGTTAAAAACAATTGGTAACTTCTTTAGTGGGCTATGTCTGCTTTCCAGAAAAGAAGACTAGCTTGCGATTTACGTGCGTGTTTTCCCATCTCCTGTGTGTAACTTGGTGACCTGTATTATCCTTTATTAATGATGCTGATTTTGTGTGTAACTCAGTTATAAAGCAAGCCGGTGTCTGGGGAGAGGTTCAACCACAGAATGATCAGGGCTGGAATTCTAAACAGGGCACCTTTGACGTCTCCCAGTTGCTGCCGGCTGCTTGGCACTAAGACAAGCTCAGAGCCTGGCTGGGTCCGTGGCCCAGTGAGCCCTTCAGGTGGGTCAGAGATGCCCAGGGAGCGGGTCAGCTGCAGGGCTTCATGTTCCTGGGAATGACTTTGTCCACCTTGGCTTGTTTGCCCCTCAGGGAGAGCAGATGAGGGTGCTGAGGGTGGCACTCGGCTCCGGCTGAGAGCCAGCTGCCCACGTGGCAAGACCCTGCTCTTACTTGGAGACTGGCTAATGAAAGGGAGTGGTGCCCTGGGGGGGGGGACACTGAAGTCCACTGAGGCAGCTTTCTGCAGAAACTCCCTCACCCTGTGAAGACAGGGCTTTTGGTGTAGGGATCCCGAGACGCACAGATCCACATGCATTTGTCAGGTATGTTTAGCAAAAACTGTCAAGATGAATTAAACAAGAGAAGGAAATCTGTGTCTCGCATTCTTTTTTGATAAGAGTGGGAAGGAATGGTGAACCAGAAAGGTTCATCTAACAGAGATAAAAAATAATAAAATCATATAAAAATTGTGTTCAAAGGAAACAGAAGACAGTGCTAATGACAAGTGTTAATTATTTGGTGTGAGACTATGACATGATGAGGAGCATCCTAGGAGCAGGAGCAAAAACTGCGGTTGAAGTACCATCTGCCACAAAAGTGACCCCATGTGGCAGTTTTGGGGAATGGGAAGCACAACATTCTTAAAGACTGCTTGAGAGCATTGTGCAAAGTCCTCGCAGACTGACTGTAGCACACACAAGGCACTTTTCATTTCTGTCACTTCCCTGCCACTGAACCCCAACCTGCCTGCCACCCCCAGCAGCATGTGGCCCCGGATGGCTGCCCCCCAGGTGCCTGAGCACCTCAGTGAGATGCTTCTGTTTTCATATCAGTATGATGAGAAATACATGGTTGTTAGAACCACCTGGAGACAGAACCTAATCTCATTATTTGCCTTGTCTTTTATGTAGAGTTTTGGAGCTTTAAATAGGAGTGCTTGTGCCGGGGCATGGCCTGTGGTAGAGAGCTCACCTGGCCAAGGCCCTGGGCTCAGCCCAGCACTGCCCTAAGAACGAGAACAGGACACTCTGCGATTTCCTCCCTGATGCCCTGTGTCTGGCTGAGCTCCTGAGCTTCACGGTGTGTGGACGAGCCAAGGTGGACTCAGTGTGTTCTTGGACAGGAAGGAGGGATTCCCTGCATGCCGTCACTTCCTTTTTAGTTATAAGTGCTGACCCCTTTCTTTTGGTTGCAAAGCCCCCAGAACTAGGTCATTTCATTTCTGGACACTAATGTGGTCTAGACGCCCAGGTAGTGGTGGCAACACAGGGCCAGGACCAGGGCCAAGGGCTGACTCTCTGCATCCAAAGTTTCCTCATGAAACTGTTCTGGGCTTTTTATGGCCGACTCCTGACCTGAGTCTTAGCCATTTCTCAGCCCCTCTGGGAAACTTGAATATCACGCCACAGGCTCCTGATGGTGTGAAAAGCCCACCCTGAGTGCCCTGTGGACCAGGTCAAGCACCCTGAACAGAGAGGCAGGTTTCTTCATTTTTGAAACTTTCCAGAGCCTTCTTTTATTCCAGACCTGAACACAAGCCTCTTCTGCATCAATTAAGTGACAGGATGCTCTGTCGATTGTCACTTTTATGGTGATCACTTACTTTATACTAAAACCCAAATTCTTTACTTTTGAATGGTCACTAAGGGA